TGATAAACGTATTTGGAAAATTTTTAGAAGAAATCCAACTTTGCCCCTTGTTTTAGACCAAACCTCAATCGTAATCTGGTAGTCACTTCCAACTCTGACAGACACTCTTCACRGCTATAGTTTTGGAATTGGAAGAACAGAGAAGCGAGAAGGAAGTTAGAATGAGAGAAGATGATTTACAGAAAATGGAGCCTTATTACTGGCCCAGTATCCCATCTGTTCTAATCTACTAGTCTCTTCCGACTCTGACAGACACTCTTCACGGTTATGATTTGGAAGAGTAAGAGCAGAAAAGCAGCGAGAAGGAAGTTGGAATGAGAGAAGATGATTTACAGAAACAGTCTTCCTACTGGCCCAGTATCCATATTGGATTCCATCGTAGCCGTAACGAACTACCTCTTTGTCGATAACGATCCATTCATCAAGAGAGATCATCATCATCCACATAGACAAATGGGAGCCGGACCAGAAAAATCGGGAATCGGTCCGTTTTTCCCTAAAATCATTTTTTTTTAAACCATTGATTTTGGTCAGCAAACCACTGAATCGGCTGGTTAATTGTTCGAACTATTCGAATGGTTTTAACCATTTTTCAATATTTTTTACATTTTTTATTTTTTTTATCAAAATGGGCCAGCCGTTCAAATCAAACGATCAGATCGTTCAAACTAGTAATCAGACTCTTGACCGGTTCGATCACCGATTCGGTTTTAAAAACCATGGGGAGGACAATGGTTATGCCTTAAACCCTTAGTGACTTTTATCTTGTATGTGTACAGACAGCCGTGGTTTTGCAAACTTATTTTCAATTGCAGTTCAAAACATATGATTTGATAAAGTTGAAATTTCTGTACCTAAGCCTTCGCTGAGTCCTCCATGGATTGTGTTCTAAATCCTGACTGATTAGCCTTCACATCTGAAATGGAAAATGCTTTTTCTTCGGTTCTTTCAAAAATATAAATATGGTAGTCTCTTAGCATCCAACCAAATCGATACGAGTTTCAGCCGTATTGTATCGGCACTTAGAAACGACCAAAACTCTATTTTTTTTTAGTTTTTTTTTTTTTTGAAATTTGGTTTTTTGGAAAGCTTATAACCTGTTTTTTATTATTAAAAAAAATTGGGGGTCCGATCGTTTTCAAAAGATACAATACGTATCGGGCGTATCGTATCAATACTTTGAACCTTACATCCAACATCTCCTCTTTCGTTCTTTTCCCTTCAATGAAAGGAGAGGTTATTAAACCATTCCACCTCATTTTTTCCATATGTTACAGTTTAGTGGTTTTATTTCAAAACATAAAAAAAATAATAATAATAATAAAGGGTAAAAACATCTTTTTAATTGATTGAGAAATTGTTTAAAACTCACCATGAGTTTTCAACATCTCTTAAACTCACCACAAATTTTCAAAATGTCTAAAAGTCACCTTCCSTTAGTGCACCATTAATGCTTCTTAACAAAGGTGTCCATGTCAGCATAAATAACAATTTTCATGACCAAATTACCCTTGAACGGTGAGTTAGAGGAAAATGGTCATTTTTACTTTTCAATTTTCTTGTTTTTTTTTTTTGCATTTTTAGTGTTTTGTTATAATTTCCAATRTTTTTTTATAATTTCTGTTTTTTTACATTTTTTTTATTTTCTACAATATATAAATTTTCCTGTATTTTTTGTTATTTAAGTTCAATACATGTGTTTTTCTATAATTTTTTGTGTTTTTCTACAATTTTTATTTTCTGATTTTGTTTTTCAATTTCTATAGTTTCTATAATTTGAAAATAATTTTTTATTTTGTTTGTAATTTCTATAATTTTTATATTTCCTGTACTTTCTATGTTTTTATGTATTTTATATTTGAAAATATTTTTTTAAACTTTTTCCTTTTTACATCTCTAAATATTAAAATGATAATAATCAACACCCGTTAATTTATTTTGTATATATTTTATATTTTCTATAAAGGTTAAAATGGTAATATATTAACATTGTCAACATGGTGAGCAAGGTTCAAAGTATCGACACGTATCGGCCAGTATTGACCAATACCTATCATTCCAGAACCCCAGTGGGTGTATCGGGGGTCTAACCAGTTCAGAGGGTAGAGGAACCCTAAACCAGCCCCCCTGAACCGGTTTCAAGAAAAAAAAAGTAAAAAAATAGTATCAATTTGCCCAATACGCATATCGATATTTTGAACCTTAATGGTGAGTTTTAAACATTTTGAAAAGTTGTGGTGAGTTCAAGAAAAATGCTGAAAACTCCTGGTGAGTTTTAGACAATTTTCCTAATTGATTCTATTAAACCTAGGGAGGGTTTAAGTCCTATCATTAAACTTGGGGGAGGTGTAAAGTATTTATCAACAACCTCAGGGAGGTTTAAACGTTTAAGTCTTATTTCTGCTTCAGCCTGCACCAACGAACATCAACATGTCATTCATCATGTCACATCTCACAAGACCTCAAGAATCTCTATAGCTGCATAGCCTGCACCAGCAAATTCCTTCAAGACCTCATAGAGCGTCGTCATCTTCATTCAACATGTCATTCATCATGTCATGAAAGGGAGGACAACAGGAACCAACATGGAAATTGGAAAAATGTAAATGCCAAACTCTTTCAACTGGCTAACTCAAACAAGTACCAGTGTCGCTCAGTTGTAAGGTCAATAACAAATTCAAAACAAAATTCCCTACTGATCCAAGTGATGTCTGCAGTAAATGTCACATTTAAATTTGATACATTTCAGCAATGACAAAAAAACAGAAAAAATGATCTACTCATCCTCCTGGCTGCGCAACCTAGCCAATTTGTTGGTAACAACGATGTCAAGCTGTGCAGCACGCTCAACAATCTCCTTCCTCTTACGGGTGGAAACATCATGGGCGATCTCAGCACAGTAGGTCCTGAAAATCCATTACCAACAAATTATATGAAAACATTCTTGAATGGCAATTGGCAAATGACTTCTAAATGTGCTTCTGTAGTATTCAAGAGAACTTTTTCTGTTCCTATTTTATATCTTATTTTTCGTAGGGGGCGGGGGAAAGGAGAAGCACCTGTTGTGCATCATCAACAATTCCAGCTCCTTGACATTGTGCACTACAAATTTCTTAAAACCATTGGGAAGATAGTGGCGAGTCTTTTTGTCTGAGCCATAACCAATGTTGGGCATCAAAGTGCATCCTTTGAACTTCCTCCTCACACGAGAATCTATACCCTTGGGCCTACGCCAGTTAGGCTGTAAAAAATAATACATCCCACACCACAATATATGATTAGAACTCCAAATAAACTCCCAAATGTAAAAAGAAATAAAAGTATAAAAAAGCAGGACATGGGAGAAGCAAAACCAAAAGGCCAAGCAAGATGGCAATCTTGCAGAATATCCAGAATGATTGATTGAGAGACAAAATTCTGCGATTACCATGGACATATTCTATATGAACTAAAGGAATATAAGCGATGAGTTGCGTTTTTACTTGAAATGCATATTGATTCAATCAACTGACTACTACCTTTAAAATCAAATATACTTAAAACTTATCACAGCACAGGCAAATAACAAATAGAACAAGTTTGCAAAATTCACAAACCCTGGCCATCTTAGGACAATATTAACAGCGTTATACTATAAGACCCCAAAGTATAAGGAGAATAAGATAGCTAATGAAACTCTGAAGCTGGATGCAAGTCTTTTACCCATACATGAAAATGAAGTTGACATTCAAAGATGAAGGTGAAAATTGGAAAAGAAAGTACYCAAAAATTGTTCCAAGTAGAAAAAAAAAACAAAAAAAAACAAGTAATCTTATCTTACACAAGTCAAAAAGAAAAAAGGAAACTAAAAGCCAACAGTTAGCCCTAAGGATCCTTTATTCAACTTGAATAAAAGATTGTTGAAAGTTTCTCAACTTTCCTAGCATTCCAATGATTTAAAGTATCAATACACAAAGGTGTATCAGTACTTTAAACAATGTGCTTTTTTTGTTTTTTATGTAATTCTTCTAGATACTTTTATATTATTTAATAAATGAAATAAAGGGTTTCCTGAAAACACCTTTAAACAGGTGTATCAGAACCCTCACAATACGATACAATACGCCCTTGTACCGAAACTTTGAACCTTGAGTATTCCTCATAAAAGGAAAACTCATTAACCCATCTATATATTGAACATACACCTACCAAGGATGATATAGAGAAACATGATTTGTTACCATTAAAAGAAATAAAGACAGTAATAAAGATGTTGAGAAGAGCAACTAAGAAAATAATGTACCTTCACAGAAATCTTCCTGTCACTCTGGGGCCTCTTGAACTTCTTGACACGCTTCTTTACTATCTTCTTACTGAGCAATGGAACAGCCATAGTTTCTACAAAACAAAACCGCCAATAAGAAAATATAATTTAATTAGTACAATTACAGCACAAACACATGCAAAAGGCATTTTAGAACAAATAAAAAAGGATCCCAAAACTTACCTATTTTACTGTTTAGAACAGAACACAGTAGATGTAAGAAAAGCATAAAATAGCACACAACTAGTCATGTCCTAAACAGTGCATTTCTTATATTTACTTTATAGCTAATACAATGAGTGTTAAATACTTGTATTGCTTGTGTTTCCTTCCTTTCTTGTCATACCCATATGGATAATCTGTGATTCTGTGATAGTTATGCAAAGATTTATACTTCTCAAACATATCAAACATTTAATTGTTTTATCCTTCTCCTGTGAACGCATATGACTTGTCACATGCATCAACACAGCTTCGTTGTTTTCTACATATATAACCGATGCAAACAGGCTCAAGGCTAATCTATGAACTGTGATAGCGCTGCAAACATGCACCAACAGAATATAAGGAGCATAAATATTTGCAAAGCTATCACAGATTACCCATGTAGATTTGTCAAACGCACCAACACAGTCTCGTTGTTTTCTATAAACAGACTCATGACCTCAAACAAGAAACGATTAATCTGGCATTGTTCGCAAATCCCTTAACATTTACCCACAAGACATTACAGGGTCAACCCCACACACACGAACGCACGCACAACACACAGATCAATATCGTAAAAGACAATGTTCATCAGATTCAATCTCAATGCTTACTATATCAGGAATAAAGCTAAAAGAAAAGAAAACACCACCTATTATTGAAAAACAGAGCTACTAATCGGTGAGATGGAGAAAATAAAGCTACCAATTACTGAAAAATGGAGTGATTCTGAAGCAGATAATTAGAGGAAACAGAATAAATTATAAACAGACCATAATTAGACATAGACTCATTTTACGTGATTATGATCTGATAGAATAAAGAATCGCAAAAACCGAAAACTCGCAAAACAATTCATGCAACGAAAACAAAATTAAGCACTTCATGAGCAATAAACAGAGAAGAGATTTTGATTTACAGATCAGAAAATAGGGAAGTAGAGAGACGAGACTCACAGTTTAGGGTTCCGCCAATTAAGAGCTTCTTCGGTCCTGCTAAGCTCTAAACCCTAATCTCGTAGAGAAAGAAGCTCGTACAGCGAGGGTTATCTCTTTTGAACGGAAGAGAATCGATCGGGTGTACTTTGAATCACCGTATTACAATAGTTTGCACTCTCCTTATGTTCTGATTGGTGAAAGCTCGGAATCTTGGGTTATAAGACAAGCATCAAACGGTATAATGACTAAACTAGCCACGTGTCACGTTTGAATGACATCAAGAATCTGAATTACCATGATTTAAGACTGCAACTTGAGCGGTCCTATCGACGTGATCTGACTGGACTCTTGCATGGGTTCGGATTAGCTATTTGGAAATAATGCAAATGGAGTGTTTAAATCCCGGTTGGGTAAATTTGTATTTTATTTCACTTTTGCCTGTATTTGGCAACATTACATTTATGCATTGAGAAATTATAAATCAATGCATATTTATTAATATGTAAAAGTACATAATAAAAAAGAAGTAAATTTGCATTCAAATAGGATTTTGATAAAAAAAAATCATATGTTTTATTGGAATTCATGTTTGTATCCATTACGGCTAAAAGTTTGTTTGGTAAGAAGGTAAATTTGTCAGTGCAAAACYAACTCAATTTTGCAATTTATGTGCATGTTTGTTTGAGGTGTTCTTTTACACCTTAAATAAGCGAAAAACTCCACTTACAGTGAGTTTTACATCGAGAATCGATGGAAAGTTCCCACCGATGAAGTCAATGTAAAACTCCATCTTCTCGATAATCGGTGTAAAAAGTGATGCTCGCACCTCCTCTCAGCCACTGCAACGGTCGATTAAGGTGTTTCCACCATTTTTTTCCGATATGAGGAGCAGATCTAAGGAATGACAACTAATTGCTCGCACCTCCTCTCAGCCACTACAATGGTCAATTAAGGCATTTCCACCATTTTTTCCGATCTTAGAAGCGGATTTGAGGAATGACAACTCACTGCTCTCACCTCGTCTCAGCCACTATAATGGTCGATTAGGGTGTTTCCACCATTTTTTCCGATCTGAGGAATGACAATTCACTGCTCACATCTCCTCTCAGCCATTACAACGATCGAATAGGGTGTTTCCATCATTTTTTCCAATCCGAGGAGCGGATCTAAGGAACGACAACTCATTGCTCACACCTCCTCTCAGTGATGACACAAGTATGACTCTTCCACCATTTTTTCCAATATGAGGAACAGATGCCTCATATCTGCACCATTTCTCTGATCTAGTTACATGGTTTCATTTCTCACCATCCTTCAATCTCATAATGGTGTTTTCTCACATATTTTTTGGTTTTAGTTGTTTTATATTTTTTCCAGTTCTCATCTCCACCAAGCTAAATTTGCYTGTACTCACACCTCATCTTAACCACCAAGAGCTCCCATTGTTCAAGCTCGATGTTTCACCATTGCAACGTTCAAGCTTATTGTCTTCACCACTACAAGGGTAACCAGCATTCAAAATATTTTCATTGAATTTTACATCTTGACAACCAAACGTGATCGGTGTAAATTTTCAAAAGCAAGCGGTCCCAATTTCCATCAACCACTAAACCGGTTCACATTTTCCATGGGTGTAAAATTTGAATTTACACCTCAAACAAACACAACCTATATATGAACTGTTTTACACTACATATTTGCAATTCACACTTATTTGCATTGTTTTGGCAATAGTTGTTTTCTCATCAAAAGTCAAAACAATTTGGTTGTGCTTGATACTACCACACAAAAATTTGATTTTTTTAATAATAAAAAAATAGAAGACACATGCTTTGCACATGCGTATATGCATAAATGGTATGCATATAATTTTCTTAGCAGAGACCCATGCGATGCACGAGATTTATAAAGGAAAAGTGAAATAATCAAAACTTATAACTAAAGAAGGAATGCAATGATGTTTAAAATAATTAAATCTTTATTTTAATAATTTGGTACAAAAATGATTTAGTAATTTAATCATTTAGATTAATTATATTAATAATTTTTAATAAAAATAATAACATATTGTTAATTGCTTAATAAAATAAAAAATTCCAAATTAGTACCTATACATTAAGGGTAGTCTCAGTTAGTACCTGAATTTCAAAGTGTGCCACTGCAAATCTGCAATACCTAAACTCTTAAAAACTTTCAATTTAGGGGGTGTTCTATAGTGTGGATGAGAAATTGGTGGGTGTGGATTGGTCCACACCACACCCTGTGAAAGGGACCAATCCACACCACACCACAGTCCATGAATGTTCTGAATTGTGGATAGATTGTGTGGACCGGACCAGTCCACACCTACGGTGACGTTCTATAGGTGTGGTGTGGATTGGTCCGCACCATACTTTTTTATTCCATGTATCTCATATACATTTCATGGGAATTCTACACAGTCAATTATAAATGTCTAATTTTTTCATTTTATATGGTAAATAAATTGAAAACATGCATCAATATGTAAACAATAATTGCATTTTTTAATAATTAAAAATTTAATATTTAAATAATGAAAAAAGAGTTGAGAAGGAGAACCGTCGGATTTGTGCTAGAATTAACATTAAAAATTATTATTTTATTGATAAATATTAAAAATTTAAAATTTAAAAATTATTAAAAGATTAAATAAAATGAGAGTAATTGGACCAATGTAATGCTGATGCGTTACACTGAAACCTTTCCACAAACTATCCACACCATAATGTGGACCATCCACGAGAAAATACTATGGACGATAAATTGGGGTGTGGCTTGTCCCTATCCATGTTATTTTGTTGATAGGGGTCGTCCACACATAGCAAAACACCATATTTGACCATGGATGGGACCGTTTTCCGTCCATGATATATACACACTACTGAACACCACCTTAGTCCCTGTTATTAAAGTTCGTCAATTAGTTTTGAATATCAAAACTACCCTTTGAAAGAAGACACTATTTATTGTCTTCTACCTTTAAGACTGAAGACCAAAACAATTTTATTCACTACAGGAAATCATTGAATTCAGCTACTTCAACTATTATCAAACAACCCTCGACGACGATATCAATACTAATTTTAGCATTAGAAAATGAGAAGAAAAATTACCAATTTACCAGAAATAAAACAAGGAAAATAAAAATATAGAGAAAAGATCAAAGCCACAAATCAAAGGTAACCAACTAGTATTGTTGTTAATTGTTACAAGGATCATGAAACTGAAGAAAAACAAACCAGACAAAAGCCAATTAAAAGAAAAGAAGTTACTCATGACAAGATCTAGAAAGGTGCGTCAAATACAAAAAATGAAACCAAAAAAAAAAACACCTAAACCAAACTCATGGTGGTGATTAAAAAATTGATGGTAGTCTTTGAGAAATCTGAAACCACCATTATATTATCTCTCACAGCTTGTCACTGATTCCAAGGATGGTAACCTTGCCTCCACAATGAACATGTCTTCCCCTAAAAACCCATTCGAAGGGTTTTTGTGTTCATTAGATGTAATGAAATTGGAAAAACCTTGGATGGAGGGATGAGTATTTTTTTGGGTAAATTTCTTAAAATACCCTTATAGTTTAGTTAATTGACTAACTCCACCCCTACTGTTTGACTATTGTCTTAAAGTACCTACTATTTTGGACAATTGACTAACACCTCTCTTACCGTCAAGTCTCCGGCAGGAGCCATTCACATGTGACATCACATGTTTAATTATTCATCATATAATACCAAAACTATCCTTCGATGGTCAAAAATGCCATTTACGGTTTAAACTAGGGCACCATTAGAGTACTGCCAGACGAACCAGGTTTAAAGTACAGGTTCTACCAGCCACAGGTTCTCCCATACCAGACAAACATGAAGTAGTGGTTATCAACCAACCGAATAAATTTGAAGGAGGAAGAAAGTGGAAAGAGGAAGGAGGAAGGAAGAAGGAGGAAGGAGGAGGGGGGAGGGGGGAAAGAGGAAAGAAGAAAGGACGAAGGGAAGAAGGAAGAAAGGAGGAAGGGAAGGGGAATGAATAGGTAATGCATGACGACCACCTCCCAGAAATGCTCCATGACCACCTCCCACCTCTCACCCGCACACCCACACTGCCCAAACCACCCCTATCCGTAGCTGCACGCCCAGCACACCCCCTGCACATTTAGCGCCTCTAAAACAATGTTTTAACGCCATTACAGTATAAATAGTTCACTAGCACCTTTTAAATTTGTAAAACAGGGCAAAACAATGTTTTTTCCCATAAAAAATTAAAAAAAAAGAAAAAAGAAGAAGAGGAAGAAAGAGGGAGAAAGGAAGTTGCTACCGCCGCTGGTTCGAGTTGTAGTGGCGGCGGCGGTGGTTGCGCATCCTCAGAACAGTAGCAGCAATGGATGTGAATCAGATTTCCGATGTTCTTTTGCTTGGGTTTGGACTTGAGTGGCGATGAGAGCCAAGAAGGGAGTTGCAACGGTAACCCACGCAGTCAATGGTGTTCATTCTCCACTCAGATTCAAACTGAGTTCTCCACTCAGTCAAGATGATGTTAAAGTGATGAACAAAAATGTAATTTCTAATTTGGCGTGTTTATTGAAATAGGGGCAAAAGTGATATTTCACTTCCCCGTAAGGATTTAACGATGCGGATAATTGTCCAAAGCAATAGGGATACTTTAAGTCAATAGTCAAATAGTAGGGGTGGAGTTAGTCAATTAACTAAACCATAAGAGTACTTTAAGAAATTTACCCTTTTTTCTCTTTTGCCAAACGGTATAGATTTAAATCATAAATGGATGATAAGTAAACAGGGGCTTTTGGAAAATCCATGGGCTTTGCATGGACCTTGGTGTTAGGTTGTGCCATTTTGTCAATTTATAAAGGACACCTGAATCGTGATGCTAATTGCTAGATCAACCTTAATGGGAATTTGAAGCACTTGCTGGTATTGAATATTGATTTTCATGAATTTAAATCTGTTGCGACCACAACCGCAATGAAGCAAAAGTAGCACTCCTGTCAAGTGTTAACCCTAACCTCTGAATTTTGAGATAGACACACAAATAAACATTCAGATAGAGCTTTTCAGCCAACATAGAAACAAAATCAAGGATTTGC